TTGTCTTTAGAGATATTTCAGAGCCAGGAAATTCTAAATTTAAAACAAAGAACAAGGACTCCAGCCTATCTAGTGTCAGGAAGAACAGTCAATGAGAACACCACTTTGTGTGCATACACCAAACAACTCCAGTACAGTATATGAAAATAGTTTTAATCTCCTGATTAAGGTAAATTCAACACTAAATGTTCTCTTTTTGTACCGTCAGTTCTAAGAAATAAGATCCTAGTCGGGTGTTGCCAGATGGGGAGATGAGAGATTACTCCAAGCTCGTGGCCTTTGGGGTGCCTTTAAGATAGAGTGACAGACCTCCATATTAAGACCAGTCAGAGGCAGGAAAGGTCCTCTTTGTCTGGAATACCAACACTTTGAGGCTATGCCAGCTTCTCAGAACAGATCTAGCTCTGATGTTGTGAAACAGAATAAAATCTGAGTGCTGGCTCCATATTCCCCATTCAGCGAGAAAGGTATTAATGTCTTGTCACTTGTCATCAGTTGGGAAATACTCAAACACAGCATTAGTTAATGAACCAATTTAGAATGTAATGGCCTATTCCTAGGTATAGCATAAACTAAGCAAATGACAGGGCAGTCACCATCACTCACTTCATCACTCTTCTTTAGGAAATAATGTGCCTTTCCTTCCTCCCTCTCTTCTTTATTCTTACCTTTGTCCTTTTCTCAAATACTTAAATTGTACCCATCATGAATGAGGTACTGTAGCAGATTCCAGCTCATATTTATCTGGCTGCCAAATCTGGTTTCTCTTTTTTTCCATTTTTTATTTTTGGAGACAGGGTCTCACTCTTTTGCCCAGGCTGGAGCGCAGTGGCACTATGACAGCACACGGCAGCCTCAACCTCCCGGGCTCAGGTGATTCCCCCATGTCTGCCTCCTGAGTAGCTGGGACTACAGGCGTGCACCACCATACCTGGCTAATTTTTTGTATTTTTACTAGAGGCTGGTCTTGAATTCCTGGGCTCACGTGATCCACCCTCCTCAGCCACCCAAAGTGATAGGATTACAGACGTGAGCCACCACGCCAGGCCTGTTTATTTTTAATTACTAAATGTTTTTTCTTCTAAAATAAAAGGAAAGTATGTCCTTTATAGAAAAATTAAAGTTAGAGTAAAGTAGAAACAAGTCCATCATAATTGCCCATAACCAATCTCTAGGAGGCCATTTAAATAATTTATCCTGGATTTGCTCCTGTATTCTTATCCATTGGAGATTTACATACTTGAGATATATATGCACGCAATTTTGTATCCTTGTTTGCTTAACATTGTATCATAAGCACTTTCAACGTCATTAAAAGTCCATCATAAACATAATTTTAATACCCAAAGTTGGTGATAAATATCTCAGTGCAGGAATCTTCTTCTTTGTTTCAGATTTCCTTAGGATAAATTGCTTCTTAGAAGTGGAATTACTGTGGGCAATGGGAAGAGTACATTTTAGAACGTTCCTTGACACACTGACAAATTGCTTTCCAGCAGTGTAGCAAAATCACGCCACCAGATAAGAGGGCTGATTTCATTGGACCCTCACCAATAATGAAGAGATGTTTATTGATAAGCAACATTTGTTAATATTACTGGTAAGGGGGGAAAAAAAACTCTATCTTTTAAAAAAGTCTGGAGTTGGTTTAGTCTGAGACAGTACGGCTGCGGCGTTTTGGTCTTTCAGATAAGTTCTTCTGCCAGCGCTGCAGATTTCAGTGTATCCTGGCATGAGAGGCTCCGCCTCCACCTGCTGCCACTGTCCTCTTGGAGCTAAAAGATATCTACTTACAGATAATATTGTGAAATTATAAGAATTTCAGCATAAGAAGATGGTTGTTGCATATAATCTTCCTGGCACCAAATAAATCTGTTTTAGAAACTTGGAAGAGAAACTGACCTAGAACAAGCTCATCTTGAAGGGGAAGTTAAGAACCCTACTTCATTTGCGTGAGTCCTGGGACCACGTCGAACTGGCTAAAAATGTCACTTGCAAGTACCACACAGAAAACAGAAATGTCACTTTGGCGGATTATAAGTTTGGACCACTTTTCATAAGACTGTGTTATGACTCGAATCTTGAGGAATTTGCAATGGAGCTCATGAAAGATGAGCATTTACAAGGGTTCTCAGACTCCACACAATTTACTATTTTGATGGATATGTTATTTACCAAAAGCAAATATATAAGTGCTTTGAAAATATTGACAGAGATGAAAAACCCAGATGGGAAGTTCACCAGTATACCTATGTTCTTGCTTTTGCAATTGGCTACAAAATGAATAGCTCTCAATCTTTCAAAGTCTGTACTACATTAAGAAATGAGGCCCCAATCAAAAGAGTTCTCTCCAGGAGAGCATCCTGTTTCCTGTGGCATTAGAACCAGGTGGCAAAAGCTATGCCCATTTTTTTCTCACATCACGAATCCAGAAAGCATAAAGTTTACTAATTTAGATATGATAATCCATATCCAGTCAAATATGTTAGCAACTGTGATAGAGATAACAAAGGGTGTTGCAGAAGGAAATGTATCAAGATTCGTTGAAAGACCTGAGTTCTCAGAGGAACTGCTGGCCAAAGTGAGGAAAAAAGGGAAAGATGCGCTCGTCTTTGTGGCCAGATACCATGAGATGTATGGGAAACTGCATGTCGTTGTCCAGGTCACCACTTACACTTTGGATCCTCTGCCTTGCGACATCCCTTTAAAAATGCAAGGGACGGGAAATCCCACATGTTGCCATAAAACAACAGGATGGTCACCAGTTAGACCTTCACCCTCTCTGCTAGTCCCTGCTGGCTGAGTAAATCCTAGTTTCAGTCCACCCGTGGGTATGAAGGACCTGCTTCTAGTGAGTTATTGGCTTCCCTAAGAAACAGGCATCACACTTCACCAGACACTACAGTGACACTCGATTTCCTCCCTAAAATCACTGAATGGTGGCATGCTGCTCTCTGAGAAGTTATGTCGTGTCACTGTGAAGATCTAGATACAAGCACAGAAAGCTTAGCTCCTTCAGAAAGCAGGCTTCCCCTGTGCACACTATTGAGGATCCTTGAAGGAATATGGTCACTGTCTACAGTCCAGGTTCCAGTACTGGAGTGGAACCCCGTAGGCACCATCAGGAATGAATTTCACTACAAGTGTGGTCAACTCTGATTTGCAAGGGAGTAATTACTTGCAAATTATACCCTTGCTGAATTCAGGAGTTCCAAAACCCTATTCTACCATATCAGAAAATAGCCCAGGATTTCCTCACTGCTCTGCCTTCATGTATTCTGTAACTTGAGCCGTCATTTTCTCATCTGCAAAATAATAGTGCTTATGTGTATTTGCATATATATTTGAAATCTTCATTCAAGGTTTAGTAGGGTAGAATTTTCTCAAAAATAAGAGAAATAAAGGTTCTGGAGCAAAAAAAAAAAATCTGGATTTTAAATTACTACTGAGATTGAATCTTTAAAAATGCAAGTAAAACTATAGGTCACTTAAAACTTCTCTAAGATAAATGTTGTATAAATACACTGGTGCTTGCTCTTCATTAACTCAACTAATAAAAGGGAAATAGTTTAAATCATACGTAAAGTTGCTATATCAGAGTTCTTGGTCGCAACACTGAAATCATTTCTGGCTGACTGAACCAGAAGAGAAATATATTGGAAAGTCATTAAGTAGCATACCAAAGAGACAGGAAGTTTGGCAAATCAGGCTCCTTCCACAGGAAGGGAAGCTTAGCAGCTGAAATTAGAACAGGTGGGTCATCACACCATTCAAACAGCTCACTGAGGACACCACTGGCATTGCCACAGTGTCACCTCTGGCACTACTGTCTCTGAACACAAAACCCACTTCACAGATAATGGAGACATTTCTAAAATGTTTCTTCTTGAAACACATAATCCAGACTCAAATAACGGTACAGGAGTCTCTGAGGCTGGTGTTGGGTCACAAAATGATACTCTAGCTGCCAGGGAGCGGGAGACGGTGGGTATTGGGCCATTTTGGCTTTTATATAAATTTGGATGCCAGATAGCAAGACCAGGATCAATGACCGCTCTAAACACGTATGTGGAATTTTTTGTTTCATAATGCTTTTTAGGAATCTGGCTAACCTTCTTAATTATCACTGAATTTTAAATTGTCCAGGAGATCATGAGATTATCTGGTCCAATACTGCAAACTCAAATGCCTATCATATTCTCAAATGTCAGTGAGGTGGGGGTGTATGGGAGTGGTGGGGACTGTGGAAAACTGAAGAGTGTCTTCACAGTCTAAAGGGGACACCCGCTATTCAGCTCCAGCTGATGGCTGCTAGAACTCGCCTTGGACCAAATATCTGATGTTACAATTTTACAGAAAATGTGAAAAGTCTGAATTTCTGTGAAATCTCCTAACTTCAACATTTGGAACCAACTTCAAACTAAGAAAAACAACACTGTTGCTTCTTAAAAATCAAGGCTGCAGGCTGCCTCCAACAATCAAACCTCCTCATTTAAAAGAAAAGAATTCAGGAAGATGAAGCTTAAGAAGGTGAAATGCCTGAGACCAAACAACTCAGTTGGTGGCTGAGCCAGGGCTAGAATTTTGGTTTCCAGAGGAAAGACTAACTAAGAAAAGCCAGTGTTTTCCCACCCCACTCTGCAGCCATTTCTCTCACTTGGAGGTAAGCTCCCAACCAAGCTCAAGAAAAGCGACTCTATTTCATCCAGCAGCCGCAACCTTCATAAAATGTTTATCAATTAATAGAACCTGTCAAGCCAATAGAAACAGCCTTCAGTATTGGATCAGAGTTAAAATTTAAGCTTCTACTACTTTCTAGGTGATTAACCTGGGATAAATTATTTTACTTCTCTGTCTCTCGTTCATGGAAAAAACAAAAACAAAAAATGAGTCCCTTTTACATATAGGTTGTAGCAGATGGAATAAGATCTTGTGTACCGACTGCCTAACACAGTGCCAGAACTGTAGTAAGAACACTGCATGTGATAGTACCATAACATCCAAGAGATATTCTAATAATTCGTATTTTCCAAGTACACACAAATTGGGGGTAGGGGGAAGAACTAAGGTGCTTCATGGTGGGCGTAGCCAGTTGTGGATAAATATCAAAAAGGAATTCCTGATATGAGGTATAAGTGGGATTTTCAACCAAAACCCTATCCTTCCCCAGACTCCAGTGACAGTTTAACGGTCAGCTGCTTCAAGGCTTGTGTACTGTGCAGTCTTCAAAGGCACCACTCCTGTCTATCTCGGTGAAATTGACAGTGGAGCAAAAGGGACTTTAGGTGGTTCCAGGCTGGGGAGAAGACGTGCAGGGTTTCAGATGCGAAAGTGGCACCCAACCGCTTCACTCTCGCTCTAGGCCATCCGCAGGGGCCCTGCTTCCTTCCACCTGCGGGCTTTTTCTGCAGAATGCGGGAAGCCGCCGCCGCCGCCAGGGAGGAGGGGGCGGAGGCAGAGGCGGAGGCGGCACCCAGGGGCCGGGGCAGGGGAGGCCGGGACCATCGCAGTGACAATTTATTTTCCTGCAGCAGCGGCAGCAGGGACGGCTGCTGAAGGTTCGGGGTCGGCCGGCCTGCGCGTGGGTTTGCGAGGAAGCTGTTCATCCCCTGCGCTGAGGTGTCCGACAGTGAGGAGGAGAGCGACGCACGGAGCCCGCGCGAGTGGAACCAGCAAAGCTCCATCGGTCGGCACAGGAGAAGGGGGAGGAGGCACGGCCGAGGCAAACGAGCGGACGCCTAGTCGCCGGGTGCCGGTATCACCCCGCTGCAACGCCTTCCAGAAAAAGCCACCGCGGCCCGGGTTGCAGCGGCCGGACGGATGCCAAGGCCACACGGCAGGCGCGGGGGCAGCCGTCGCAGTCGCCGTCCCACGCGCGCTGCGGACACCCAGGGTTGCTGGTGAGTAGCGGCGCGCGCGCTTGAGTGAGAGCGCGCACCGGACGGGGAAGTACGCACGGCGGGTGCGTGTGCCTCGTGGCCTGGCGCGCGCCGGCCCTTCCGCTGGCAGCGTCCGGTCCCGGGCTGGCTCCGGGGGAGGAAAAAGGCACTTTGGCGGCTGATCGCTTCCTTCCTGCCAGTCCTGCGATCGGCCGCCTCCATCGGCGCCGCCTGCATGCGCCTCTCCGCGGGGCCCTCGGGGTTAGTTTCACCTTGATAGGGAGGCAGGAAGCCCTGGCTGCTGGTGGCGGGGCGGGACTCTGGCCTGACCTATACGTGGGTGCGCCTGTTTTTCTGGTTCAGCCCTGGGTTGCAGCCCTGGAGATGATGTCGACCTTGGGAGAGACCACTGCACTGTCTCTAGCGGCGCGGTGTGGAGGAGGGAAGGGCGAGGGTTAGAAAAACGGACCTTTACCCTGGCCGAGCAGGTGCCATGCCTTTCCAGATGATGTTACTTTTGTGCCGTTCATGAGCGACTAAGACATTGCGCCGCACCTGAATAACTTAAAGCCTTCACCTAAAGCCCCCGGTGAGATGCACAAAGAAATGGAATGTCTCCAAAACATATTTTTTTCAGAACTTTCTCTAAAACAACTCAGGCTGCTGATACCCCCAGAGCCGAAGGTGCCATAATTGCTGAAGTTTAAAAGAAAATTTATACAAGGAATAAGTAATTCAGGAAACGGAACCCAATCTAGAGGTTTAAAAAAAAAAAAAAATCAAGTGCCTGGGAAGTGGGGTGGGGTGGCCTGCTTCCTGGAAATCTGTGTTCGGTAGTAAGTAAAAAAGACAGCTTTCAAAGTAAGCCCCAGTGAGCACACTGCTTTCCAAACATCCTGCTCATTACTGAGAATAACATGAAGTCCTGGATTTTAAGCTATTTCCGAAGACATAGTAGATATCACTAGGATGCCGGTTTATGGTCTCGTGATTTAAGGCCCTGTCAAGGTCATTAACGTAGATTTGTTCCAGCTGATAAATTATACCTGAATGTTTGATTGTCCGTGTCAGTATTTTTGAGGGTGGGTTTTGACGGTTGTTTTACACAGAAATTAAGCCACCGTGTTTTGTTTTTATCCCGACCTTGTTTCCATTGGAAATTTTGTGTTTTCAGGATGGATGCTACATTGTATTTCAAAAATATACTCTGCCACTGGATTATAGTGGGCATTGTGTAACTACACTATACATGTCTTTATTTTTAATACAAGTTAATGTCGCTGAGCAGTAGACTCTTTTTGTTTACCATTTGCACCATGAGAGCTTCTCCATTCAAAGCGTGAAATGTTATTGGAATCTACCTGGAAAATGAATTGGCTGATTGTTTTCTGTTCAGAAACGCATACAGCAAATTGCCACTGAGAATCTACTTTTGCATATACTTTGGCTGTAATTTATGTAGCAACTGGGTCTTGGGAATTTCAAGAAGAAACTTGTTTTCTTATCCCCACCTGTAAAGTAAACACCAAAATTTAAATTATAAGGCAGATAACCTAAGTCCTTTACCCCTATCTCAGCCTTCAAGGCCTGTTTCTTGGTACCCTTTCCCTGTTTCATAGGAGTCTTACGGTTTGTGGGAGGCTTGAAGGGAGTAATGAGGGACCTGTTTCCTAAGGATGTCCTCAGTAGAGAGATTTGCTTCTGGAGGAGAGAGTGTCTTTGGGGTTGGTTCCTAAGAAGGACTGATAAAAATATTATAAAGGATTGTTAATAATAGTTCCCTCTTCTTACTTTCAGCACATAGGACTTAATTAACACCATTTGATCATTTCCTTCCTTTAGGACCCTTCCCAGCTGTAAGAATTTACTGCTACAATCCAAGAAATGAGATTGCATTTTACAAGAAAAGAAGGCTGATAATTCTTGCCCAAAACATGAGAAGTAGAAGGAATGTGAGAGAAAATAATGTAGATTCCGTCCAGGAAGTGCTAGGTGCTTTCCTGGTGGGTGCATTTACCAATTAGAGACATTTTAATTAATCTACCGGATTTACGATTCTGTCTACTACTAACATCTTTTTCTTGACCTTATGAAAGATTTATAGATGGCTTCAACTGAAACTACAGGAAATGACTCATGGTTATCCCTGAAGATATTAGAGCCAGCTTTCCATTCCTTAGAGCTGATGCATAGCAGCTCTTTGATAAATATTTGCTACATAAATGAAAAATTTTAGAATGTCTTCCTAACCAAACTACATCACCTCTTTTGCTATTGATTTTTTAAATCATAACTTTATATGAGTCACCAAAGATTCCATCAAATTGAATCCCAGTTCATATAATCAACTAAGAAGGCCAACATCCTCGATTGAAGAAACAATAATAAAATCAAAACAAAACAAAAACAAACAAAACTCGAAAACAAAACAAAAACAAACAAGAAATACTATTGGTACCTGTTGACTTGCTTATTCCAGCTATCTGAACATGTGAACTGTCCAGTTGAACGTGTGAATGTACATTCAGAAATCCTGAGTTGACATCAGAATGTTCAACTCAGGAATAATCTGGATGTAGCTACATCTGGATGTGGCTTTTGTCAGAAATTATTTGCATTTCTAAGCAAATCAGATTAACTTCTAGTACAATCTTGCATCTCTGCATGTCAAGTGGACAGGCCAGTTTAACATTTGGCATATTGCTGAGTCTTCAAAACACATATTGTTTGATTCTCTAACTTTTAAATTAAATCCATATTATTTTTTCTATTGATGTGGTTGGTTTAGAGACATTAAATTAGACTGGTGGTTACTTAGTAACTTGTGTTTGGTGGTTACTTAGTAACTTGTGTTTATTAAAAGAAGCCCCTTGATATAAACACCAGTACTTCTTATGTCTTGATTTGCTCTAGTTAACCTTTAAAGGTACTCTTTTGGAAATGGGTCCATTGTCTTGACTATTAAGGATGTTATGACTCCTTTTTTTGTTTGTTTTAATTCTGACTTTCCATCTCCCATCATTAGAAAGTCTCCCAGTTATTCAGGTTCCAGTTTCAGGATGACAGATTAGAAAGCTATCTGAAATTTACCTGGATATTAACTTTCTAGTGGATAATAATAATGCAAATCTTATTCTTGAAATTCTTCCTTTTATGTCCTTCCCTGATGAAGCTTGTTTCATTCTGAACAAAAGTAAAATAAGATTCTCAATTTATTTTTTAAAATTGGGCTATGTCCAAAGATAAATACATAAAAGTAAAATATTATGTAAAATAAAAAACTGCTTATCACTGTTCTGAAGTAGCACAAACACTGCTATTCTCTGCATAATGAAACGTGGCCATTCCTATCAAGTATTTATTTGATAAGTAGGCTCTTGAGCACTTGAACAGGAGTTAAAAGCAGGTTTCCTCCATGTCGTATTAAGGCCCTTGAAAGCTGGGGGAGGAATTTTGATTTGAGGTGGTAGCCAATTGTAGGTTCCTTGAAAGGGAGCAGGTGCGAAAAGCATCTTGTCAGAAGAACTCTTTGGCAGTTGGGTGGAGAGCGGATTAGTATTAGCAAGTGGAGGCGACAATCCAGTGTCTCATGGTGACAGCCTGATCTCAGATCCCATTGCGATGGAGAAAAGAAAACCTCAGGCAGATATCAGGATTCTTTGTTTTATGTGAAAGAGATCGAAAACCTGTGGCACAAGTGTGATCACTAATACCTTCCACACCCACAGGGACATCACCAGTGGATTACAGCATTCTTTCCTGTGGAGCCCTGGTGTAACCTCAGAATCTTGCGAACATTTGACAAATATTTATTAATAGCTGTTCGTTATTGAAGATGTGTTATATGCCAGGCACTGTACTGCTTTAACACAAGTTTATCTCAATGGTGATGGAGTGGTTGGAAACAGGATTTTTCCCCCCACTTTCTAGTTGTGTATCCTTGGACAAGTTACTGACTTCTGTGAGTCTCAGTTTCCTTGCTTTTCAATTGAAACATTAGTTTCTATCTCAGAAGGTTTTAGGGAGGGTTAAATAAATAGCTGTAAATACAAAGTGTTTAGAACAATGTCTGGCACAAAATTAAGTGCTATATGTGTTCGTTGTTATTCTTGTTATTATTCTTTAAATAACCTTATGCCTAAGTACCATTTTGCAGATTTAAAAAATGGATGTACAGAGGAGCTATGTGAATTGCTCAGCATCATAGGCTGGTAAATGGTAGAGCTGGCCATCAAACCCAGGCAGTATGATTCCAACACCTCTTGTCCTGACTTGTATGGATCCCTGTCTCCTATACTGCATACCGGGTGCTGGGGATACTGATTGGAGCAAGAAAAGTAGGGGCTTGTCCTCATGGAGCTTCAGTGTTCCAATCCTCTCCAATGTAGATCTGTCATCTCCAATGTAGAATTAGTAGCCAGATTATAACTGTTTTTCCTTGATGTTTTGGTATTTTGTAGGTAATGTTTTTATTAAGTTCTTTATTAAGAAGTGCTCCAATTTGTGTTTTCATATATGCTTTAAAAATGGATTATTTTCTGGATCTTTACTCTAACACAGTTGGCATATACAATACTCATGTCTCTCCTTATACTCAAGGTTTCTTATGTCTCCCTCATATAATGTGTCAGATTCTGGGGCAAGTTTTAGTATTCTGAAAAGCTTATATGCCATCCACTTACCTCCACACTCCCAGAGTCTCAGATATCTCCCATTGTAAGCTGTGGTGAGTGAGAATGACATTTCTAACCATCTTTTAATTCAGCGTATTCAGAATATTTTGTAGAGTAATGGCAAAGCAAGTTTTAGTTGTTCTTTGACTTGTTGAAGTAATTATGTCTAGTTATAAGAAGCCAGATTTTATTTATAGGTGGGAAGACTCCTGTAGCAGTGAAGACTAAGCAATTCTTAACTCCTTCAGAGCTTTAGGATGGAATCTGCCATCACTGACTCCCGTATATTGACTTTATTGCATTAATTCTTATAAACGTTTGTTCTTATAACTCTCAGAAATCTATAGCTAGTATTGTTTTTTTCTAAGTAGGTGAAACTTTTTCTTGGTCTTGTATAAAGTTGAATTTGCCTCCAGCAGAGAATCATTGAGTATAAGGAGAGATATATGTGTTGTGTATGCCAACAGTGTTAGGCAAAACAAAAACAAAATAATCAGTTTTTTAAAGCATATGTGAAAATGCAAATTGGAGCACTTTTTAATAAAGAACTTAATAAAAGCATTGCTTACAAAATACCAAAACATCAAGGAAAACTAGCAATCCTCTGGGTACTAATTTTACATTGAAGATGATAGATTTACTTTGAGATTTACTTTGGAGATGGTTGGAACCCTGTAGTGCCATGAGGGCAAGCCCCCACTTTTCTTGCTCCAGTCGCTATCCTCGGTACCCAGCATGCAAGTATAAAACACTAATAATTTTGTTGATGGAAATTTTGAAATCTCACTGTTAAAAATATACTCTGCATCCTTTAATTTACCTTTTTGTGTAAATTACACATTATATTATTTGGCAAAAGTTCAATTCTTTTTAAAGAAACATTTTAAATTTCATGAGTCTAAATCTGATTAAAGATGAAAGAATCTGAGATTTGGTGAATTTGGCTCTTTGTTTTTTAAACTGTTGCGATACTTAGGTTTCAGTGGCATCACAGTAACTGAACCAGATTCAGCAAAAGCTCATGCAAGAGATAACTGTTAAGAGGCCCATCAGGAGTTATTCATTTTAATTGTGTGATTTGATGCTTCTCTGGGTTAATTTAGAAACAGGAAGCCAATGATGACTCATTTTTAACCCTTTCTAGCTCCCTGTGAACCCTGCCTGCCTGTTTTGCATTCGCCTGTGTTCAGAGACAGGCTCAGCTGCAGGTTCACTTTGAGAGTGTTACATTTCAAACTTGCCTGGCTAGTGCACTCATCAGCTATGCACGTTTAATTAAAAGTGTAGGAAAAACTATAGCCAGGAATGATGACTATGGCTAAATTTGGCTCATCTAAGGACCCTGTGATTCTATTTATCCTGTCACTACAACTATCATTTAACACTAGAAATACAGAGAAGTCGTTCTGCCTTTGGGCCCATGCTTCGGTCTTCTGGTGGGTTGACTCTGGCTTTTTTCCCAATCTGTTCTGTCCTTGAAAGGTTGGTGTATAAATTGTTCCACAAGATAAGTTTTCTTTAACTATAGGAACAAATGGACATGGTGGATGGAACGAGACTGGGAAAGAGAGGCCTGAAATATGCCCTTCCTATGCTAATGTTGCCATTTACCTGGGCAAAGAAACTGCTTACTTAATCTATAAAGTAAGCTAAATAAATTAATTAATAAATAAGATGAAAATCACTCAAAATCATTGGTGGGTGTAGAACTTTTTTTTTCAATTCATGAAAAATTCAATAAATTGAAATGTGGATCTTGAAAGAAATATAACTATCATATTCTTATGGCACACTTAGTTATTTTTCTTTTGTCAAATATAATATTATTGAATAACTTAGGTAACTAGGGCAGTGATTCTCAAACTAGGCTCAAAATAAGAAAATGTCCCCCATCCCACCCCTAGAGATGATTATTCAAAAGATTTGGGTAGAGCCTGGCAGCCTTCCTTTTTATCTTTTTAAAACAAGGGTCTTGCTCTGTCACCCAGGCAGGAATGCAATGGTGTGATCATAGCTCACTGCAGCCTTGACCTCATGGGTTCAAGTGATCCTCCCACCTCAGCCTTCTAAGTAGCTGGGACTACAGGTGTGTGCTGCCACACCTAGCTATTTTTTTTTAATTTTTTTTTGTAGAGATGAGGTTTTACTGTGTTGCCCAGGCTGATCTTGAATTTCTGGGCTCAAGTGATCTTTCCACCTTAACCATTCCGAGTACTGGGACCATAGGCATGAACCACCGCGCCTAGCAGCCTTCCTTTTAGCAATCTTCTCAGGAGATTCTGATGTAGGTGCTCAGTAAACCACCCTTTTGAGAAGAATCTACTTAAGAG